GTAGAGGAAGCTGGATATTGAGATTTTGCTACCATGTTATGTGCCTTGAGGGGACTGCCCATCAGGAGCACTGCCCAGACCTTGCTGCAGACGAATAGCAGGAACGCATATTGTACGCAGTCAATTACAGGTGCCTCCTGAGTATGCATGCCCAAGGAGTTAGCGTGTGGGGAAGGTCTCTGGGAGATATGACATCACAGCCCCTATAAATAATGCATGACGCAATATGCTGCGGGCAGCCAGCCTCAGCCATCTGCAACTGCAGGCTGCGCGGCTTTGAAAGAATGGCTCTTCCTGACGCCAGAAACCACACGGAGCCGCACGGATGCAAATGGAAAGCGTATACACATGTGTTTGCATGCTAGATGATTCTGGCGCAGTCTTAGAGGAGTTTTTTTTTGCATGGAGTTGGACTTTCACCCAGTTTCTCCCAGTCTTCTCCCACAGCGTGAGTGTCTCTTCAAGGCCGTCATGTTCTGGCCTCTGGGAGTGTGAAGTTCAACAGACAACAGAAATGAAAAAGACAGCAGGGTCTCGGGGTAAAGGGCATGCGCTCTGCAGCAGGACTGTGTGCGCTTGGCCGTGGTTCCCATTTCCTGGCTGGGCGACCTCGCAGACTGCTGTGCCTCAGTTTTCTTACCTGTGAAGCGGGGATACTGTGAACCACACCAGCGGGCCAGCGTGAGAACTGAGCGGGGTGGCCTATGCAAAAAACTCAGAGCAGCGCCCAGAACACTGTAAACAATTTGTGTTTATTATTAGCTAGTGGCAGATTAATCTGAAGTAAATTTATTTAAAAAATAAGGATTGTGCCTGCAAAACTCTGAAGATCTAAAGTGCTTTCCAGAGCCCATGCGGTACAAAACCATTTTTTTTTTCATTACAAACATGTTTTACAATTACACTAAACAACCATAAAAAGTGAACAGAGCTGGACAAAAGGGAATCAAATGTTATCACCAACAGCTTCTTACTAGCTGGAAGTTCTCAAAGCTGCTCTTACAAAAATATGTAACTTTTTTCTACCTGTGCCTTCCCAACCTACCTTCTTGTGTAATCCATCCAAAATGAAAACTTTATCAATGAAAGAAGGAAAGAAGACCACCCAAGTGCCAGGATTTGGAAGGTGGGTTTTACTTTAATCTTAAGTCCAGAGAGTAAACCTGCTTGCTATGGAGAAAGGTTATTTCTTTCTCCTGCACATTATTGGACTGACTAGAACATTTAAAGTGAGCTGAGGTGGCTTAGGGGAGCCCTTACTTACATATCGGGTTGGCCAAAAAGTGCATATGATTCTTTCCGTAAAATAGAAAACACATTTTTGTTTTCACCAATCACTTTATTGATTTGTGTATGTTGAGTATGTCGTCTATCTCCCATGTGGTAGAACACTGACTGTTCTCCATTAATGTCTCAGTTTGATCGCTATCAACTTCCACTGGTCTACCCAACCATAGAGCGTTGTCCAGCGAGAAATCTCCAGCACGAAACTTCGCAAACCACTTTTGACACATTCGACCAGTCACAGCACCTCTCCATACACTGCACAAATATTTTTTTTTGCATTCCAGTTGCATTTTTACCTTTCTTGAAATAATAAAGCGTAGTGTGCTGAAAATGTTGTGTATTATCTTCCATCTTCAATATTCAAATGGCTACACAAAAAATCACCAAATCTGATGCTTTTTAAAAATGCATGCTGATATGACAGCTGTCACAATACAATCTAACAAAGCTGTTTTGAGTGAAATTAAAGACAACTAAGTGCTACTAAAGCCATCTTACAGAAAAAACCGAAACGAACTTTTTGGCCAACCCAGTACATCAGAAAATAGTGGCTGTCTGCTAAGTAGGGGACAGACCCTGAGACAGGAAATGCCCCGAGTGAAGGGGCAATCCCTAGGGCAGTGCCACATGGGGGGGCCTCTGCTCAGTCTCTTTGGACGTGGGGGTAAGGGCTTGGAGAAGAGAGACACCGTTAAGTGGACCGAGTTTGCAAACGGCAACCTATCCAGACCTGTCTATCTTTCTCTCTCTCTTGTCTTAATACCAGTCAAGAAGGATGCTGGGAAAAAAGCGTAGCCAAAAGCCTTCATCAAAATGGAAAGACAATGAGGTTCTATCCAGCTGTTCCTTAGCTGGCTCACCTTGGATAAGTCATTTACCCTCTGGACTTTTATTTCCCAGGCTATAGAAAATAAATTGACTAGGTTAGATGAGTGGATTTTGAATTTTATTTATTATTATTTTTTTAATGTAAACTCTTTTTTTAGAAGTATTTTTTAAAGATTTTATTTATTTCTTTTTAGAGAGGGGAGGGAGGGAGATAAAGAAAAACATCAATGTGCAGTTGCTGGGGGCCGTAGACTGCAACCCAGGCATGTGCCCTGACTGGGAATCAAACCTGCGATGCTTTGGTTCGCAGCCTGTGCTCAATCCACTGAGCTACGCCAGCCAGGGAGGATTTTGGATTTTAAAACTTTTTGTGCGAATGAAAGCTGACATGGAAACCTAACGTGCCAAAGGATGAGAGTGTGACATAGAGGGTGGGGGGGGTGGCAGTCCTGGAGTCTGGGGACAGCCCTCTTACCTCTTCGTTAACCAGGAGGTCTGGTTAAACACCCTTTGGCTGAATGGGAACCCACTGAACGTATTTATTTGCATGACAGCGAGTCAGTGAAAACCTCAGTGTGGTCTGGTTTATTACTGAAAAGAACATCAAGAGCTTTGGAACCCACGGAGGCCGAGGCCGAAAACCGAGGACCCAGGTTCTGCCACAGCCAGAGAGACGTGCAGCTGCCTAAGACCGTTCCTGGGACAGCGAACTTGTGTCTCCACATTTATTTACTCAAGGGAGGGTCTGCTGGGGAAGTGGGTCAACTGTCAAACTGTGTCCTCGGGGTAAATCAGTGACACGCTCGGGAGAACGGACCCTGCAGCAGCAATGTCTTATAAGAACGATCTCTTCATTCGATGCACACTTCGCTGGGAGGAACCTCCATGTTCAGAGGCATGCCATGGTAGCTAGCATTTGCAGAGAGAGAGAGAGAGAGGGCGGAAGACTAATTTAATGTCCACAGACCGGAGGTTCGCTTGGGAGAAGCATCAGATCCATTTGTGAAGTGTTCGAGCGAGCTTGCCTCTCGATGAGAGGGATGGAGCTGCCCCAGATCATTCCCTGGCGTGCTCCATCACCAGTGCGTATGGACACAGCCTTCCCCTGGGGTCTGGCTTCTGCTTCGCTTAGCCCGAGTCAGCCCAAGGGTGACTCAAATCCAGGTAGTTTTCCCAGATGCTGGGAGAAGGGGTCTCAGCTGTTTGAGAAGTATGTGTTGACCTCCCAGCGGAACACGAGAGGTCACGCAAGCTGAGTTACTGTGAATTCCAACGTACTCGGATACAACTCTCTTCCCAGATCACCTAACGCTGTGCGGCCCCTAGTTATTTGCAGCAGTTAACACATATAATGCTTTTTCACTTGTCCTTTTAAGATGATTTGCTTGGCTGATGTCTTTTATTTTATTAGTTTTTATTTTTCAATTAGACGTGACTTCCCATATTATTCTGTATTAGTCTCAAGCGTACAGCGTAGTGGTGTTACAATCACATACTTTACAAAACGTACCCCCATCCCCGATTTAGCTGATTTCTTACTTAAAAGCTTATTTCCTCCTACATTCAAACCTTTCTTCTTTTTTAAATAGAAATGTGTCTCTAGTTTAAAAAAAAAAAGGCAATGGTGAAAAAAGTATTAGCGATAAAGGTAGCTCATGCGATAGGCCATACGGTCAGGAAGGGGAGAGAGGAAGGGACACCTTCTGGACAACCTGAGACCCGGGGGGTCGCCTTTATTTCACCTGCAGACTGTGGCCCACGGTCACACCGTCTGAACCGGCCACACCGGGTGTGGAAGGTGGGCCCATCCCCGGTGACCTGTCCGGGTTTTCCTTTGCCTTTAGGCAGGGGCCGCCTGCTGCAGAATGAGACCTGTTTGTGTTGTCACTCTCCTCCACGCCAGCGGTGCCCCGTCCCCTCTCCTTTAGTCCAGAGGCTTTTCCGGAGTCTGCAGTCAGAGAGGGCGCACATGGGCAGGAACGGGGGGCCACGCATTCGTTCGGGCTGCACGCGTAGCTGACGGTGTGGCTCCCTGCCACGCTGGCACCTGGGGCAAGAGGAACAATCGGCAATAATAATAATAATAATAATAATAATAATAATAATAATCCTGCCTTTATTTAAAATGTTGGTCTTTTGCTCATAATAGAATGTTTTGCACTAATTCTTATTTTTCAAAATAGTGCACGGACATATCATTTCTCTTGAGACCCGAGTGTTTTGGCCACTCCCTCACACTTTTGTGCCTGTGGTCAGTGCCTCCCTTGCCCCACCCTCGTGCCGGCCCTGGCACATACTTTTATGAGTGTGCCAGGCGAGGAACTAGGTGCTGGAGATACAGGATGGGGTGGACAGGAGCTTTCAGCCGAGTAAGAGTCAGCCGCGCAAATAGGCATGACTCAGCACGATCGCTATATGACGGTGCGGAAAGTGCGGCGGGGAAGGGGTCTCTGCTGAGCCAGGGAGCCTGGGAGGAGGGCTTGAGTCAGACTTGCAGGCTGCCCGCACTTGGCTAGTGGACACAGGGGTGCGGAAAGGATGTAAGGGGAGTGTCGGGAAATGACACCTCCTTTCATCGCTCCAAGCCTCAGTTTTCCTCATCTGCAAAATGGGGGAGAAGGGAGCACCCGCTTCATAAGGTTGTGTGTTGTCAGGGTGAGCATGGGTTCACTGGGCTCAGCACCTAAAACAGATTCGGGTGCCTCACGTAACACTGGTCAGCCGCGGCAGTGGTGATGACAAAGACCATTGCATGCAGTGGCGATGACGACGACCATTGCATGCAGTGGTGATGACGACGACCATTGCATGCAGTGGTGATGACGACGACCATTGCATGCAGGTGTGTCTCTGGGCCACCCCCACAGTCTGACTTTGCTTTGCAGACATCCACGACAGTGACGGGAGTTCCAGCAGCGGCCACCAGCACCCCAAGAGCACAGCCAAATGGGCGGCCTCTCTGGAGAATCTGCTCGAAGACCCAGAAGGCGTGAAAAGATTTCGGGTTTGCCTTTTTCCTTGTTGACGGGATCGATGCGACACGTGAAGGGCAGATGCGTGTGGGGGAAGCACAGGCCAGTTTTTAGCACTGCCCCAGCTCGAGAACAAGAACGTCTCCCCCGTCGAGGCCAAGGTGGAAAGGCTTTCCCCGGTAGCCAGGGCCCAGCACCCAGGGCGGTGTGCAGACTGTTTCCGGATGTCACATAGCTGGGTGCGGGGTGGCGTGGGCTCTGGGGAAGAGATGCCGTGTTTATTGACAGGACCTACAAAGAGTGTCAGCTCTGTGATACCCAGGAGGGGCGGTCTGGGTCTTCTGTGTATCTTGTTCTCTTGTGTGTTGGGATTATTAACAGCGTGAGACAGGCTAGACAACAACCGGCAAAGTGAGGCTGAACTTCAAGAGCAGGCTGATGGATGGGGGAGTGGCGGTGCTGCCTAGAAATAACTTTTTCGGCCAGCTGCAGCCCCAGGTGCTGGTTAGAGGCCGCTCGTGTGAGTTTGAAGAATGCCCTGTGTCTGCCTGAGCTCCCCCAGAGTCTGGCCTCAAGTCCAGGGTCAGGCCGGGACAAGCCCTCGGGCTGTGGGTCCTTTAGTGCCCGGGGAGGGGGCGGCAGGCGGGCTCTTGCCCTTGCTGGGCACTAGGCCACTGTGAGCTCTGTCTAGCTCTGCTGGGGACACTGCTCTGTGCCACTGACCCCCAACATCCGCCACAAGAGGAAAATATACACCTCCAACTTAAAATAGCTCTCATCGGGATGGTTCTGGACATGCTGTCTATGTTTTTTTTTTGTTTTGTTTAAAAAAAAAATGGGCCTGCTTTTAGAGGAATGTACTTTGTTTAAACACTGTCTGGAAGGAACTAATATTTCTTCCACTGCAATTTACTTTTTGGTAATTTATTGTCAGCTTAGAACTGGGAGGGGACACTTACTTCATTTTTACTCTTCCCTGCAATGTCAAAGCCATTGAGTTCAGGTGCACGTGGCATTCTGGCGTTAACATGAAATATGAGCTTGGTTTTTGGGAGCAGAGTTTTCCTGCTCAGAGTGTTTTGGATTTTGCCAAATTCAAATCCTTGAAGGGAAATGCATTCTCTCCCATCCCTGGTCCCTGAGGGGAAATGCGTTATTTATTTGTTTGTTTTTTAAAGCAGATTGCTGTTTTACACTTTGCTTCTCTGTACTTATAGGAATTTTTAAAAAAGGAGTTCAGTGAAGAAAATGTTTTATTTTGGCTAGCATGTGAAGATTTTAAGAAAACGCAAGATAAGAAACAGGTATTTCTTCCACTTTATCATTATGTTCTCCACAATTTACTTTTCTCTCCTTATAAGCTTACAGCCGCCATTCCAAATCTATTTGGAAATTGCCTCGAGAAATCTGATCCACTTGGACTTGGGGGAAGATTTAAGCTCCAGGTTAGGTACCCTGTGTTGCTCAAATACGCCTAATTTTAAACAGAGGGTGTTACTCCATGTTTAAATGGAGCCGTGCAAACGGACAAACAGTTAAAGCAAAAAGGACAACGTACGTCATTCAGAGTTCGTCACCGTGCACGATTTGTTTCTGCGTGAATAGGTTCTTAGGAGGCGGCCCCCGGAGTGGGGCCGGTCGGCGTTTCGTACAGAGGCCGTGAAATGATAAGCAGACGTGGCGGCAAAAGCAGGCTGCCTCCGATGGATCGTCAATTATTCAGTATATCTTTACGGAACGTCCCGGAGTTGGCAGGCGTCCCACGTAAAACGTTCCTGCCTATCCTCCTGGGTGGCTGGCTATGTGCTCTTGGCCAGGTTCGGGGGAGGGGCAGCCAGCATCTTCTGCCGCTGAAGGTTGGGGATAAGGCGGGTGGAAGAGGTGGAAGAGGTTATGGGGAAGGAGGCCGGGGGACTGGGAGGGTTTACGAGGCCGGTGCCTGTGTATTTCTAAGAGGCTACCAGCGAAATGCCAGCAGGGCCCGGTGGGGAAGGTACCTGAGCGAGGCTGTTGGTGTGAGGCTGTCGGGAGTGGTGGGGACTGGGGTCGTCAGGGGCAGCTGCGCTGCCTGCAGCGGCTGCTGCAACTGGTTGTTGAGCTGACTTTGGCAGTGAATGCTTTGGGGTCTGTGGCGATCTGGGCTTTCCCTGCTTCGAGTTCTGCCCACCTCGGTCTTCGCCTGCCCACGCCTGGGCCCAGAACCCTGAGGGGCCTTTCCTCCTGACGCATCTAACCCAGAGAAGCTGGACGCTTGGATTCTTGTGTAAACCCATCCGACTTGATAAGCATGCAAACTAATTTTTAAAGAAAAGTTAAGCCCTGCCGGCCAAACGGGACACATCCCTGGGCAGAGGTGGGCTGCCAGGTACTGAGCACCTGTCTGCAAGGCCCCACTCCCCACGGCCAGCAGTCACTGCGCGTTTGCAGGCCACGGCTTGGAGAATGTCCATCGTCGGCTTCCTCGGAGGGTCTTGTGGACCCAGACACACTCTCCCCAAGGAGGAGCCGGGGGGCCTTCCTCTCCACAGGGGCAAGGCTGGGTTCTGAGGTAGCTTCCCTGTGGGTTGCATTTCCTAGGTCCACCTAGAAGGACGGCCAGGGCATTTGCTTTTGTCCACTGCGGCTTTGATTCCCCCATGACTTTGCCCAAGCCTCCAGGGGGCGTGGCCTCAGAGTGCAGGAGAGAGGGCCCGCTTTGGAAGGCCAGGACATTGGCCTTCCGACAGCCCTCAGGAAGGAGTGCCCACCATTCTCTGTGCCCTGGGCACCCGGGACAGGGCTCCGGGACAGCCTCCCATAAATGCTGGACTGGGCAGTTGTTCGTCCAGCCTCACCCGACACCCCAGCTCAGAGTCAAGCGGTAGATCGGGTGTCCGTTCCTCTGCCTTATCCTTTGCGTGTTGGAGGTGAGAGGAGCCTACAGGGTGGCCAGCCCACCTCTCCCTGGACAAACCAGGGAGCCGAGGCCCCTCCTGGGCCAACCTGGGACCCGAGCCTGCACTCCGAGGTCACCCAGCCATTTCCCCTGCAGACCGTGCCGGCGGGTCTCTCAGGTCAGCTGCGTTCGCCAGATCTTGTGGGGTTTCTGCTCAGGGCCAGGCCTTCCAAAAAGCATGGGGGACACACAGGGAGAGGACGGATGAGCTGCTTTGGGGAACAGGCACCGGGAGGGGAAGCCGCTTGTGAGTGTGACGAGTCCAGAAACGGGAAGTGCAGGTTCTGTGGGAACGCAGGCAGGGGGCGGTCTGGAAAGCCCCCGAGGGGAAGTGACTTCTCAGCCGATGACACCTGAAGCGGAGTCTGGGGGTGGGGTCGTGTGGCTGGACGAGGGGACAGCAGATGGGGAGAAATTTCTGGAGAGGAGAGCTGGAGGAAGACCAGATGGCTGCAGGGTCACGCTCTGCGGAGCTGAGGCTGGGGGGCAGGTGGGGCCACACCTGCAGGACACTGGGAAGCTACGTGGTAGGTGGCACCGGCCCATCCACATCCTGCAGACAGAGCTGCCGGAATCTGGCAGCCCCTGTCTGCACCCCACACCCCTGACACCCAAACTGTGACTCCTTGGAGGTTTGTGTCCCTAAGCCTGGCATGTGCCCAGTGACGGCTGCAGTGCAGCATGTGCTCCTCACCGTCAAGTGCCTGAGCAAGCAGACGGTGCTGGAAGGGAGGAGGCGGCCGTGAGCCCGCGGTGTCCGGGCCTGTCTGGGTGACCGCACGGAGCCTTGTGGCTCCGCCCGTCCACCCAGGGGCTGTGGTGGGACAGATGCAGCAGCAGCTGGCTCAAGCCGCCAGCTGTGGCGCAGACAGAGCCAGCGCGCAGACCAGCCTCCGACTCCAGGGCCTGCGAGTTCCGTAGTGGGTCTGCTGCAGGGGAAGTAAAACCAGGAGCAAGTTCAAAACCACTCACTTAGAGAAGCGGAGGAGGAGAGCCGCACGGGGAGAAGTCGGCCCGGTGGAATTCCGCCATCAGACTTACAGCATCTGGAGTGTGTTGAGGGTTTCTCTCTGCAGCGACCTAAGGCAGTGGGGGGATCCATGCGGACCTCATTTTTGCTTCCTTTATTTTCAATAGGGCCCGAGCTGGCTTGGTTTCCGTTCTTTTACTGGGTGTCTCCAGCCAGATCTCCCCTTCCCACTGGCTGACTTAGCTGGGCTCCTGTATAATGTATTTCTTGTCTGTATCGCTGGCGGTTCCCTCTTACAGGCAGTCTCCAGAGGTTTGCGGTCCTTTTCTTCCCCAGTGTATCCAAGTGCCTGGGTCAGTGCCAGGCACACGGGACTTCCAGCCCTTCCCACTCAGATCAGCTGACACCTGAAGATCCCCCGTGGGTGGGGGCCTAGCCTTCCTGGGTCTCACTTGGTGCTGCCGTTGCAGCCCTGGACTTGAGAGGTGAACCTGAGTCCATCCTGCTGCTGCTGGGTCCTCCCTGGGCTGCGACTTGGCCCCGGGCAGGCAGGAAAGCAGCCCCAGGTTCGGGAGGGTCTCGATACTCTGCCTTTGTGGTGGGGGTGGTGGGGCTCTAGGGACTTGGGAGGGCGTCCCCCCCCTTGCCCCCTCCCTCCTCGGGGTTCCGGGGGTGGTAGCACCTTCCAGGTGTTCATATTCAGCAATCAGCATTCAAAGCAGTTCCCTCTGTTTGCACTTGCTTTTTTTTTTAAAGATTTATTTATTTATTTTTAGAGAGGGAAGGGAGGGAGAAAGAGAGAGAAACATCAATGTGCGGTTGCTGGGGGCCTTGGCCTGCAACCCAGGCATGTACCCTGACTGGGAATTGAACCTGCGATGCTTTGGTTCGCAGCCTGCGCTCAGTCCACTGAGCTACGCCAGCCAGGGCTATTTGCACTTTCTTTATGGGTTAACATTTTTCTATGAAGTGCCTTTTCCCCATGGATTAGCACGTGAGATGTATCTGTCTTCTAAAACAAAGCAGTATTGATGTTTTATAAAACCTCAGCAAAAACTCCACCAAGGTGTTCATTCTTGGGTTACCTCTGAATTCCTTCCTTCCTTCCTTCCTTCCTTCCTTCCTTCCTTCCTTCCTTCCTCCCTCCTTCCCTCCTTCCTTCCCTCCCTCCCTCCCTCCCCCCTCGGCACATGCACCTTGGGCCGGTTTACAATGTGACAAGGACCGACATGGACATGGCAGCCTGTGCAGCTTTGTAAAAACCAAACTGAGAGTCGGGGTGGGGAAGTGGGGGGGTGGTGCAGGGTTTCTAGTCATAGCTCTGAGAGCTGCTTGTCCTGGTATTTAAGTGTGATGGTGCCTTTTAGAGCTGACCAAGTTATGGGGACAGTTTATCGTATTTATTCTTCTTATTGTGTTGAACACTGCAACCAGGTCCAGGATTTTGGAGTGATTGCTATTCTTGGTTAAAGTAATAGTAAAGATTTTCCTAAAAGGCTGAAACACCGCCCTCTTTATGTAAAAAATAAAAGTGTCTAAAAATCCAAAAGTGACATGTGTCCTCCTTAGGGGAAATTCATTCATTCGGCAGTGGGTGCAGTAGAAAGGGCTGTTCCCTTCACCCCTCAGCTCACCCTCCCTCTGGTCTGGGCTGTGTCTTCCCAGCCTTTGCCTCTCGACGTGGGCCTGGCTGGGTCCAGGCTGAGCCCATTCCGAGCTCAGCTGTTCTCGGTGCGGCCTCAGGCCCGCCCGGCGCCTCATTCCTTCCCCGCGCACTTTACCGTGTTTAGATGTTATCTGCCAACTTCCTCTTACTATAACCGAGGTGTCACCGACCTCCCTGTGTACTGCATTTTCATTACGAAAATATTTATTGTTTGCTGTTTGCAGCTGAGTCAAAGAGGATACTACAGTTGCATGTTTCTTCCTGGACTATTTTTTGCTTTGCTTCTTTTCATAGCCCTGTACCATGCGTCTCGATACCATGTTGCACGGGTTCGTGCCTCTCAGTTCACCTCTGCAGTTACGGTTCACCCGGGGACAGTCCTCCTGGGCCCTCTGGCCACAGCCCCCTGGGTCTTCCTTTACCGCCTCTGGCCACTCCCTGGGCCCCTGTCCTGCCCCCTGCACCCAGGCGCTCCCGTCGGAGTCACTCACTCACTGCAGTGGAGGATGGCCAGCAGTAGCCTCTCGAGAAAGGGGATGTGGCAGGTGGATGTGTAAAGATCTTGTTGAATGAAAATGTAATTTCCCCCCTACTCTCCCCCTTCGTTGATGATCTGACAGGGCATAGAACGGAATGAATTCTAGGTTGAAACTCATTCAGAAATTTAAAGACATTTCCCACTGTCTTCCCTTCTGTGACGCATCAGTAGTTTATAGGGGAGCCGATTTGTTTTCTTTGCTGTTTTATCTCCGGAAGAGGACAGGATTTTTTTTTCAACACCAGTATTCTAAACCTGTACCGTTTGGGGCCTTGGAGGGATTGGGGTTCATTCATAGTGTGGGCATTTTATGGAGCCATTTAGTCTGGAAAGGTATAGTTCTGGAAAGTGTTCTTACGTTATTTTTTTATCATTATTTTTTCATCTCTTTGGCTTTTAGTTCCTACTTTTCTTTGGAGATTTCAGCTTTATCTTTAAATCCCTCTGTTGAAAGTTTTATGTGTTTTTTTTTGTTATTGTTTGTTTTCTTTAGACCCTCTAGTCTCTTTTGGGTGGCCGCAAGCCTAATACGTTTGTAGACTAGATACATCTGTGATCAGCTAGCCTGGGAAACATGTGCTGTGGGGTTTGTATGCAGAGTTTAACCTCACCCTCGTGCTCAGTTCGGCGCCTCGTCCTTGCCCTCTTTCCTGCTTCTGTTCCGCAGCCCCCCCCCCTCTGCCCCCAGTCAAGTTCATTAGAGGAGAGACCTCGGGGGCCAGGAGGAAGGGGAGAAGGAGAGAGAGGGGGGCGGGAGGTGCTCACCTGAATGTTCAGAGTTGGGGGTCGGCGACCTGGGGGCCTGACGGTTTCTTTCTGCGACGCCCCCTTCCGGCGGGACTGCCCGATGCCCACGCTTCTGCCACTTTTGAGCGTTTCTCGCCGCCGCCCGCCCCGACCTTGCAGGCGCCTGGGGTCGCTCGGGCTGTCTGCGGCCTCATTCGCTGTCCCCCCGCCGCCTGCTTTGCGTTTCCTGAGCCCGTTCTCGGCAATATTCTCAGATCATGTCCTTGACATTTTCTTTGCCTCATTCTCTGTCTGAGGCTGATCTCAATAAAGGCGGTGGCTTGCGCCTTTGATTGTCCTACGCGGCCTCCCCCACTGTCCACCTCTGGCGCAGTGACAGGCTGGGGAGGACCAGCTGACGGAGATGGGCGCAGGAAGCAGCGTGACCAGAGCTTGGTGGCAGGCAGGGTGGCGGGGTGAGGCAGGTGTCCGGGGAGCTCAGTCCCCAGCTTCCTGGAGGAGAGACGGCAGGACCCACTGGCCAGGAGGGGGCCACTCCTTTCCGTGGTCTCTGCGGGCGGCGGGGGGTGGGGGGGAGCCTAGAAATCAGCCACCTGCGTGGTCCGCAGCTTGGGGGGAGGGTTGGACTGACATCTTGGGAGACCGTATGACTAGGAAGCAGTCAGCCTAGGGCATAACTCTGGGGAACCCCAGAATCTTTGGGGGGGGACAGAGAGATGGGAGCTGGCCAGGGAGACAGGGAGCAGCTGGAGAGCCCCAAGAGGGCAGCGGTGCTGGGCAGGCCCAGGGCCGCCGGGCGGGCGGTGCAGAGGGAGGGCTGAGCTGGCCGGCCGGTGGGCAGGAGCCATGCGGAGGGGGCAGGGAGCGGGTGGGGGCAGGGAGAAAGCAGGGACTCGGTGCACACTCCTGTTTTGCGGGGTTTCAGTACGAAACCGGGGTGGGGGGGGTCATCAGCTCTGGGAGGGTGTGAGTAAAGGGGGTGTTCTTTTATCTTCCCAGTGGGAAAAGTTGAAGCTCGTTTGTTGGGCGAGGGTGAGGAGACAGAACAAACAGCAGCGCCCTTCTGGGCTTCGGGGGGCTGGTGCCCCTGCTGCTCCTCGGGGCCAGTGCCTGGTTCGGGGGCTGACAGGAGAGGGCACCTGCCCCCCCCCCACCCGCACCTGCACGTGCTGGGAGCGGAGCCTGGGCACCCGCACGGCTGGTGTCAGGCTGGAAGGGAGGCCCAGACTCGGGTGTCTGGGAAGAGCTCCTCTGGGTGTCCTCGCAGGCCGCCCTCGAGCTGACGCCAAGGGAGGGTCCCAAGTCCTCCCTTGGGCCCCGGGGGGGTCCTCTTCCAGCACCTCCTGGGGCTGCCAGGGCGGGGTGCCGGGCACATCTGCCCTCCGCAGGGGGCCGTCCTCCGGGTCACAGCCCGAGTCATGGACCTGTTCCTGTCCTGGCCGGAGCCAGAATAGGGTTAACAAAGCTCTGGAAAATCGACCAAAATAGCTCGAGAGACGAGGTTCTTCTTTTAAGTCTTCTCACCATGGACACCAGGCCCTCCCGTGACCAGCTTGCGGTCGGCCGGCTCAGGGTTTCCCTTTTCAGTCACGCTTCCTACCCCGGCCCAGATAAGCCCTGCGGCTGCTGCAGCCCGTTCAGCCGGACGTGGGGGCACTGTGGGGACGCGCACCCCCGATGCTGTCCCCAGACAGAGACCCAGGAGGGGGGGCCTGGAGATGTACCTGCCGGCAGGCCCCCAGAACCCGCCTCCTCTCCTCTGGGCCTCTCCTCCCTCCCACCCCACACCTCGAGCTACTGGCTCATTACACTTCTTTTCAGAACCACCCAGGACAGCCTGGGCTCCCCTGGAACAGCGTGTGTGTGTGTGTGTGTGTGTGTGATTGTTCCGGGGGAGGGGAGGCCTGACGTGCTGTCTGCCCCCCGAGCTTTGCACGGGGTCCGTTCACCTGACTGGCTGACATGTCCGTGGGGTCTGAGAGCAGGCGGGAGTGTCCAAAGGTGGTCCCTCCCGGCAGAACGGCGGTGATGGGAGGGGGGTTTCTTCGAGAGGCGGGAGCAGCCGCAAAGTGCTGTCCCCCCTGGGTCTGGCGGACGGTCCCCAGACGGGCCCCCGGGAGGAGCCGCGCTGGTCTGAAGAGGCTCCTCGTGTCTTCGAGCCTGGCGTTGGTGAGCTGCTCACGACCAGAGTGGATGCGGAGCGGGCACCTGGGCGGGCTTTCTGGAGGACGAGAGGTGGTCGGGCCTCGGCCCCGTGGGGCTTTTTCTCAGGGGGTCCTTGGAACCTAACTACGTTGTTGAAGGACTGCTTTTCTTCTGCTTTCAAGCACCAGGTGGTGCAGACCCCTGGTGTTTTCCATAAGGCCGAAGGGTTTTGTAGACTGGGAAACCTAAGCCAGGCTCTGGAGCTTGGGGGGGGGGGGCCAGGGGGGCAGCGGGGAGGGGAGGAGGGCTCTTGGGAGAGAACAGGCAGTTTTCCAGGCCTCTCAAGACCCCTCACTCCCCCCCACAAATCACAGCTCCAGGCTGTGTTTCAGAGGCATTTATGGCCTGGCTTGCCTGCAGGGTGAGGTCATGCTTTAGGCTTTGATGTTTAAAGACACAGCCCCAGGTTTGCACCTGGAGGTGTGAGTGCAGGCACTTTACTTTCTCTGAGTGAAGAGACGAGCCTCAGGGGGCAAGGCCTGGGAGAGCCAGGCAGGAGGCAGCTGGTTTTAAGACAAAGCACTTACCGTGTACTCGGCCACGGTGGCTTTTCAGAGTGCTAGAAGTGCGCACCTCTCCCACGTCTGCTCACAAGCCTTTCCAGGGCTGGGGCGGCACAGGCCTGCCCTTGGGACTCAGGGCGGCCAGTGAGTGCCCTCTCCCTCGCTCGTACGCGCACGCCATCACCAGGAAAAAACCCTGCCCTGGGACCCGGCCGGCAGACCGCACCACCTGGAGCGGGCAGTGTACGTATCCTGCAGGCAGGGGGCTGGGCAGCAACGCCAGGCGTTGGGGCCACACAGTCCTGAGTCTCCCTGCAGGGAAGCGGCGCCCACAGGACAGTGGCACTTGGCTGGGTGCCGCCAGGGTCAAGGAAACGGGCCTGGCGGTTGGGCGCCTCGTGTGTCCCGAAGCCCAGCGGGCGCCTGATAACGGGCTGGACATGTGTGTGCGCCGTTTCCCTCGATCTGTTTTGTATTGCGGAAAAGTACACGTCGTAACAAATGTTACCACGTTGGCCGTTGTTTAGGGCCGTCATTCCTATCATTGTAACCACGTTAACGTGCGCGGTTCAGGGCCTTCCGTGCATTCACCGTGTTACACGGCCTCCACCACGAGTGCCAAGGTTTCTCGTCATTGGCCCCACATGGAAATCCCTCACCCCACGAAGCAGCTACTTCCCTTTCCCCGTCCCCCAGCCCTGGGCGGGCGGCCGGCCACTCGTTTTCCATCTCCGTGGGTGTGCTGGGTCTGGATGTTTCGGATGAATGGTGTCATGCACATGTGGCCTCCAGAGTCCGGCTTCTCTCAGCACCACGGTTCCAAGGGTCACCCATGCTCTGCCCGTCTCAGGACTGCGTGCCTGGTTATGGCCCAATGGTGCTCCCATGAGTCCTTAATTCGGAGGAGTCCTGAATGGTACACATGTTACCCGCTGTGCCTCAGGAGTCTTTCTGTCATTCTTTACAAATGCACAGCGTAGCAGTTTAGTGACAGGAGGTGGAGGGGCAGCCAGCCACCCCCCAGGCCAGGCCAGGCTGGAGCAGAGAGCTGAGCTCAGGCCGGGAAGGGCCGAGCTCACAAATAACAGGCTCCGTGTGTCTCCCGCAGATGCAGGAGAAGGCGAAGGAGATTTACATGACCTTTCTGTCCAGCAAGGCCTCGTCCCAGGTCAACGTCGAGGGGCAGTCCCGGCTCAATGAGAAGATCCTGGAGGAGCCACACCCCCTGATGTTCCAGAAACTCCAGGACCAGGTAAGCTGACGTCCTGGCCTGCATGGTGACTTGAAGCCCACGTGTGTCCCCAGCCTCGCGCATGGGGGAGGGAGCCGTGGTGGGGGAGTGGGAGGGGGCTGGAATGCAGGCTCTGAAGGTGACCCACAGGAGGCTCCCTCTCGCCTGTGTCCTCGTGGTCTGCGCACAGTTTGAACCAGCAGGGTTACCCGTCTGTTCAGTGCAGATCAGGAGGGAGGCTGGGGCTGTTTGGGGGGCCCACACGGAGGAATCAACATGTGAAAACTGCTGAAGGTGGGACCAGACAGAAAATTCTAGAAAGCAAGCACAAGGACTCAAAGTGACCAGGAACCTGCGACTGTTTCTGTGCAAATATCCAAACATCACCACCTGCGTCCGGGGCCCAGCACTGTAAGCTAGTTCATAACGAGGCCCCTGGTCACCATGATATATTAACCTCCAGCATCACACCTTTGCAAAGCGGGGGAGTCAGGTTTAAAATAGACTTCTGAGGGGTAAACTCGTTTTCTGGCAAGTTTTCGTGCAAGGAATGCCCACGGTAACAGGCAAAGGGATGAAAGTGTGCTCCAGAGGTATTTTCTGAGAGGTGAGTTTGCAGACGGGACTGTCCCTAGTGCGGTCTGTGCTGATGAGACGCTCACCTGCAGAGGGACGCAGGTTTCGAACTGCTGGCGACCCCATTCCGACGGACGAGGTGCAGGCCTGTCCCGGTGCGGTGCCCCGGTGGAGACCAGCCTTGGGCTTGACTCAGCAGTCCTCCCTGGGGAGCAAGCCCGGCACCACCCGGCGGGCTTGTGAAAGCAGACGCGCGGCCCCCCACCCGAGTTAACAGTCAGGTCCCACGGGCCGGGGCAGGCGGAGACTTTGCCTTCCCAACGAGGTCCCAGGAGACGCGGACGTACCGGGAGCGGATGGTGAGAGCCGCGGCTCCGCCGCAGGGGCGGGCCTCCCTTTGCTGGCCTGGAGCATGCGCAGAGCCCAGAGCACGCCCCAGCGTCCCCGAGTCCTCGTCTTTGCTCAGCATCACGCGGGAATCAAACATGCAGCTAGAAAATACAAACGTGAGAAGTAGTTTGAAAATGGTTTCCCATGGACACAGTGGCAAGGGCGAATTCCCCTGGATTCTGAACCAAATCCGGGTGCTGAAGGAACTCGGCCTGGGAGACTGGCAGGCGGTGATCCCGAGGCCGAGGGAGGGGTGTTACGGGCCCGGACTTGTGCGGGAAGTGGCGTACACGGCCAACAGGCCGCTCTGGTGGCTGTAGCCCCGTGAGGACGCCTGCCCCGCCCCCGACCTCTGTCTTGCGCAGGGCTCCGGCTGCACTGCCAAGTGCAGCGGGCGGGGGAGCTGTTCCCAAGCCCCTGTGCTCCAGGTGCATTTCCACTCATCACATGGCTACTACCCAGAGTGCCCTTCCGCGACCTTCCGTGCCCACTTGGCAGGTGTCTCACTGCATCACCAGTGAGCATTATTCTCATTCCGGTGATGAGAAAAGCAAGGTTCAGGGACACGAAGTGGTTTGATAGCACAAAGTCGCCCCGGTCAGAGGAAGGGCTGGAAGGGCTGGAAGCTGACTCATTCTCATCTGCCTGCTTTCAAAGGCCACACTGGTCCCGGCCACGGGAGGCTGGTCACTGCCCCTCAGGGCCCCACGAGCCCAGCTGGAGCAGAGGGGCTGGCGAGGCCGCGTGAGTCCTGGCGTCCCCACTTCCCGGGCTGCAAAGGCCAAGGTCGCAATGAGGAGGGAGGCAGACCGACCCCACTCTCTGCGGGGACCCCGCCATCCCCGCGGTGGGGGCCCCAGCTGCACCCCACTGGAGTCACGTGTTGGGAGGCTTGTAGGTCCAGAGAGGAGGGACACAGGAGGCAGAGGAAGACTTCTTTCAAGTGACAAAAGAAAAATATTTCAAAAATAACTTTTATCTACCCAACTATAAAAGTCATATGTGCTCAACAAGAGAAACTTGGGAAACCAAAATATGAAGCCCCCCAAAAATTATAATCCCGTACCTTGACATGACCACTAGATAACACTTGACCTCTAGACTTCCCTCCTTTTTCCTAGAAACACACGTCCCAAATGCCGCATGGTGCATTCCCAACCATTCAACGCAGAGAAAGTGCTTCCAACCCACCATCCATTGTTAATGAATGCTACCTTGTGTTGCCTCCCTGCCAAGAGACAGGCTGAGGCTTCCAAAAAAAACCCAAAGTGCCTTGATACCCTGTTGTTCCAAGTCATTTATCTGAGGGATGAAGAGGCACTGACTATCTTTCTGAGGCACAGTTGGTGGAGACAAGGTATTCAGGCCCTGAGCGGACCCCACGGCAAGTCCCGGTGAGGGGCCTCCGGGTTCTGTTCCACGTCAGAAAACCCTGCCCCCCGAGGGCCCGCCGGCAGCCACCCACGTGGGTGCCCAGCGCAGTCTGTGGGTCTCTGCTCCCCAAAGGCCCCCGAGAGAGCCCGGGGCTCCTAAGCAGGGGAGTTGGGAGCTGAGGGGAGCCTGCTGGGGACCACGAGATTTTACACCACCTTCCAAAAGAACAAAAAACACCCTTCTCGGCTTCTCTGGCTTCGTTGAGCCCCACTGGCTCTATCTGGGAGCTGTCGGAGCAGCAGTCGGCTTGGGGTTTTCAGGGGCCCCCCACCTGGAAGACTTCCGGTGGCCTCAGCCCCCTGTCCCAGCGGGGGCGTGCCCTGTCCCCTGCAGGCTGCTCATGGGGCAGCCGGGACCTGGAAGCCTGATGCCCAGCATCCTCCCTGAGCACCAGGGGAGATGAGCCGACATCCAGGCATCTCATGGAAACGGCTCCTCCGGCCTTCCTTTGGGTCCTGTTTATTCTTGGTTCACACACAGTGCTGACGGGCTCCGGGTTTCGGTCCGCAGCAGGGAAGTGCTGGTAGAGCCGTGGAGAGCTGGGTGGCAAGAAGTGGTAACTGACGTCTGGGCGGGGAGACAGAAATGACACCAGACCCAAACCACAGCACGGTGACTCAGAGCCACCGGGCGTGGGGCCCCCAGCCCGCAGGCCACACGGGGGGCACCCCTGCGCTGCGGGGTGGTGACAGGATGAGGGATCTCCATGGCCCTAAGCATCAGGCAAAACTTAAAGTGTGGTCAGCACGTTCTGTGAGGAATGTGTTAGACGTTTTAATAAGCATTTCACCGAAATGATATATTTTTAAGTGATTTAATTTTTAATGGAGTTTATTGGGGTGGCATTGGTTAGTAAAATTATCTAGGTTTCAGGGGGTGCAGTTCTCCATCATGTGCATGTGGCACTGTGTGTCCACCACCCAAGTCAATTCTCCTTCTGTCGCCGAGTGCGTGACCCCTCCCACCGTGTGCCCCTCCCCCACCCCTCCCCCTCTGGTAACCACCATTCTGTTGCCTGTGGCTGTGAGGTTTTGTTTGTCAAAATGGTATCTTCAGAGAAGTTTGTCATTCTGTTGTTTGGAAAACTCGTGCGAGTGGAGAGATCGTTCTGTGATACAATTCGACTTGGCAAATGTTTAAGAATGAAACAGTTGGAAGGCTGCTCCGTGACCCGCAGTGTGCCACGTGGAAGATTTAAAACAGAGTTCCGCAGCTACAAGCCCCTCGGCCCCAGTGCACACGCGTGTCTCCTGCCCCGATGCCTCCGGTTTGAATGGGACAGTAAGGAGATGGGAGAGGACGGAAGGGTCAAGGGCCGTTCACATGGCAACCTGAGGATCGTTGCTTTCTCGGGCCGTGAAAGAGAGGGCTGCAGGTCTGGGGGGAGCAGGGCGCTCATTCTTGCTCGTTAAGTCACAGGGCTCCCAGTGCCTGACTTACGGCAGATTTGGGGGTGCAGCAGGACGCCCTCACCCAGGCTTTGGGATGGGCGAGAAGTCTGCTCTGGGGGAGGCCGAGTGGAGGTGGCCTTCTCCACCGAAAAGGAAGCCCTCAACCTCTGATGCTTAAAAAAAAAAATCAGCCCTGACCAGTGTGGCTCTGTCGGTTGGGCCTGGGCCCACAAAGTGAAAGGTCTCTGGTTCGACTCCCGGTCAGGGCACAGGCCTGGGTTGTGGGTTCCGTCCCTGGTCAGGGTGCGCACGAGAGGCAACCGATATTTTGGTCGATGTTTCTCTCTCACATTGATGTTTCTCACCCTGTCTTTCTCCCTCTCCCCTTCTCTCTAAAACAAATACAACCTTTTAAAAAAAGGTAGAAAGACTTCAGAGGGATGTCAGCAGCCCCAGCCACATCCTTGACAGAGGAAGGAGCGTGCATCAGGCCCCTTTTCAGCGGCCTTGTGTCTGCGTTTCCCCAGAACCCACGAAGTGAGAATCACTTCCTTTTCAGATCTCAGGAGGAAGGGTCGGACCAGCTGGCGAGGACCCAGAGCCGGGGGAGGGGCTGCCATGGCTCTGGGGGTGACTTGGGGGTCCTCTCCAACCCCTTGTTTCTCCAAGTCTGCCGTGGTGGCTGGGGCTGCGGATTCTGGAATCCTCCGTCTTGTGGGTGCCAGCTGACATTCGCTCCCAAAAATCCAGTCCGGGCCAGAAACCAGCATTTTCCAATGTGCGAAGCCAGAAAGGGCAGGTCGTAGGTTTTCATTCCAATGGAGGGAAAGTTGGCTGCCTGCATCTGCCACAGCTGTTCGCCTTATGAGGGGTGGGGCGGGAAGGACGGGTTTGAAATGCCTGGAGATTTTTTTGTGGCTTTGAAATGGCGTTTAGGCGAGGAAGAGAGGGGGTGGGCACCAGAAGGGCATTGAGCTCTCCCTCCCATGGCAAAAGACAAACGTGAAATACCTCTGCCCTGCTCAGAAAGAGCGTCCTGTGGGCTTTGGATTTGAGTATTACAGACTCCGGGGAAAAGCGGACAAAGTGCCACCACCCTGGTGTGACAGCATGGGACCCGTGGGCCGTGCGGGGGTTCGCCTCAGCCGGGGTCTCTGTGTCCATCCATGTCCAGTCTCTCTCTGGACTTCGGGTCCCACCCCAGCACGTCTGCCTGCCACCGCTGGGGAG